CTATCACTTCCTGCTCCCTGTCTCTCCCTCTCTAACCTCCTTTCCCTGTTATCTGTTTCGTCTAAAACTCAAACTTTCTTTGATTCATTTAATCTCGGCCTCTATTCTTGTCCCTCTCCGTCTTGATCTCTTTTTTTTCTCTTTTCTTTAATTCACATCTTTTTCTTTTCCCATCCTTCTGTCTGCATTTGTCACGTCTCCCTGCTATTCCACTCCTCTCCCCGTGTCCCTATTTTACACCTCTTCCCCCATCTGTGTCTATCGTCCTCATTCTCTCCCAGTTACGACCGCAGCTGTTCCCAGCATCCACCCCCTCTTTCCCGTGGCGTGGCCCCCCCACTCTCCCTCGCGCTTCCTCGTTCCCTTGCTTCGGAGGACAGCCGGCAGACGTTGCACAGCACCTCCTCCTCCTTCACCGACAGGGAGAGGTAATGAGTCGCCTCACCACTCTCTGGTGTGTGTGTCTGTGTGTGTGTCTACGTCTTTGAGTGTGATGTGCATGTTTGAGTTTCTGTGCACCTCTACTTTCAAGTTTGCTTTTTGTGTGTGTGTGTGAAGCACAGTTATTACTTCTTTTGTTTCATAAGGATACACATTGCATGGAGTATGAATGGCCAGTGACTCTCTGAGGAGTATTGAGGCCTGCAGTGTTGGTACTGCTGTCAGATGTATCCGTGTGTTTAACTCCCTCTACGGATGAGTCACAGTCGCCCATGAAATGCTGCTTTTATTTGAGGGTATTCAAAGTTAATCTCAATCAGGATAATTATAGTGCTGTACTCCAGTGCTCCTGCTCACGCCCCCCCCCTCCCCCCCACCAGCTTTTCCTCCTCTTCCTCCTTCTCTTGCGCGTCTTCTCCTCGCCGCTCTCTCAGTCCCCCGCGATGCAGCTTTCCATTCGCGTAGACACTCATTTTCCAGCTTTAGGCCTCCGTGCTCCTCTGCTCCATCTGCCCTCAGAGTTCCCTACGCTTCCCGCACTCCTCCACTCCTCCTTTCGGTCACCTTTTTTTGTTTTTTTGTTTCTCTCACCCCTCTTCTCTGTGTCTCTTGCTTTGTCAGGATCCCAGTTGTGAACCTCTGAGCGGTTGCTCCAGATGGTAAACATTTCTCCCGGGCCTGAAGAACATCAGCACAGCCAGAGGGTTTCCCCCGCAGCGACGTTTATCTCCTCTGAAACTGTGAAAGGAATCCAGGGGTCCCAGGTATCCCGCCATCGCCAAAACTTCCTCGGCTTCCTCGAGGTCTAAAAAGCCCAAACACACCAACCTGCCGCTCCCTCCCTCCCCTCCTCCCTCTGCGCTTGGTATACATTTCTTTCATGTGGCTCATGCGTCACTGTTACCTCCCCCCGTATGGACCCCGAGCTCCGCCAGCCAAGCGCTCCCTTTCCTCGAACCCGCCATGACTAATTCTCAAGAAGCACTTCAATAGACCCGCAACGTCCAATTGCATCTGAAATTCATTACAACTGTTGATCCGGTGATTCGGCTGACCGTGTGAAGCTGTTTGGTGTCTTTCATGAAATGACGCTCATCAAATTCAGCTCAGTTCAGCAGGCTTGTATCTGGTTCGCAAACGGTTAAAAAGGCATTCTCAGCATCGCCAAACACTGAACGGGGTATTTCACAAAGCTGTTTTGGCACGGATGTAGCCAACGGGCAATGTGTTTAACATGTCACGCTCCAAAAACTGCTGTTTATTCCCCGCTTTGGGCGCCCGGAATGCAAATATTGTGTGGCTTTTTCCCCGCGCATTGAGTAGAGGAGTCGGTTTTGTTTTGGTATTTCCTCATGATTTGATCGCTTAATTATCTGGCTGACGTTCACATCTTTGTCGAGTCTTTGTGAGCAGCCTCTGTTCCTGCTGGACTGTGTTCGAGGTGCGTTAAGCGTGTAGTACTTCCAGCGGCGGGGATAAAATATTCAGAGCGGGAATGGATAGAGGCATTAGTGTTGAAAATCAATGACTCCCAAAAGGTTTTGGATGGTGCACAACAAAGACGGATTTTTGTTGTCATGGAAATGAGCATCTGTGAACTGTACGTGCGTGATCAAAGGACTGATGTTACCAAGATGTTTGTTTTTTTCCCCCCCAACTGATCAATCTGGAAACACAAAACCGCCAGCTTTCCTTTTCAGCACTTCTCCAGTCACTGTGTATAAACTGTCTTGGGTGCACCGATCACTTCATCAAGGAGCATCATTTCTGTCCAATGAATCTGTATGTACAGCGTATGAAAAACCTGGGAGAGTAGCTTCAAATCTATTATTCATAAATGTCTATTTCACCTATCAATAAGTGATGTCTTATCAAACCTTTGACTCAAACATCAGTTTGTGTTTGCCAACTTTTCTAAGCAGCTTTGAGACATTAAGTATTTTCCCCTACAGACATAACGCTGGTGGCCTCATGCGTGACTCGTGCTATCCTCCAGATATCTCGTCTCGTGATTTTTAGTAGCAGTCCTGTAGAAATGTGGTCTTTCTGTACCATGGAAGTTCAATAAAGACTCAACACTGGCCTTTTAGCTGTGTGTCTGTATCTGTTTATTTAAATGCTGTTTGAATGAATTCCACTGAGCTCTGCAATGGGGAGGACGTAGCTTGCAATTTGCTTTTTAAGCGCAATTTCTCCCCAAAGTCAACATTTAGTCCAGCAGCTAGCATTCATGTTGAACCTTGGGCTTGGCATTAAAAAGTACTGCATGTCCCAATCATATTTCTTACCCGCGAGGAGCAGCTGAAAAGGGAGAACAAAGAATAAGGCGGCCGCTTTCCTCTGAGACCTTTCCTTATCCGCTGCCCTTATGTGGATTCCTCTTGCTTCAGAAAAAAATATTTCCTCTGGTTGCGTTTTTTACAACGAACGTCAATAAAATGAACACAGTCTCCAGAGGAGGAGTGCCACTGAGTCCATTGAGATTCTCCAGCTTGTCTGCTGCACAGCCACCGCTTCCATCTCCTCTGGGCATTTTTACCGACCAATCAAAACGAATTGATTGCCTTTGTTCCGCTCAGAAATTCGAAAGGAACGTCGGCGTTATGAGAAGCCGAACAACAAACAGTAAGGCCGAAGTCAGGTGTGAACGTGCGTGTGCAGTCACCGCTCACACGCTGAAACGTGACACACGCTCTCAACACCACGCGTGGGCCAGCTAACCCTTCCGTCACCAACAAACACCCAACAGCTGTTAGAAATCACGGCTCCAATCTGGTGGAAAAACAACTGTGAGCCAACGAAGCTCAATCACACTGACTGGAATTAACGCCACTATTTATAGAGATGGGACGGATTTTGTAGAGAAATACGCAGGGTTAAATAAAACAGGACCACAATTTCCCTGTCGTCTCTTTCGCTCTCACTGCTGCTGCTGGTCCGATAATTGGTACCATTAATGTCGCGCAGGAGGAGGAGCGGGGAATTAGAGAGAACAGAATAAAAATAAAAAAAGGTGAGAGACTGGTTGGAGGCATGAGGAAGGATAATCTGACTGATGGAGGTGGCTGGCAATTTTGACATTGAAATAATAGCGTTGGGCAAAACACACGTATGAAATATGGATGTGTGTGTGTGTAGCCATGCTGGTTGCGCACAAGGGAAGCTTGAGCTCTATAATACATTAGTCTCTTTGGGGATGTGCCCTAATTAATGGCTTGACCTGCTAACTGGTAGCCCCCTTGTGCGAGTTAACATTTAGCTGTGCCCCCTCCAGAGATGCACTTTGAAGTGCATTTAATGAAAGAAGTTGACAGTGATACGAAGAGTCATGGTAAGTAAGTACAGGGCTTTGTTTTATTTCGCAACAATTTATATTCTGATTTTATACATGTCTCAACTCAGCAGAAAGAAAAAAAAAATACAAAGCAACATAGAATCAAACCAAAAGAACATTTATCAAAGCAAAAGAGCTACACATCAAATATATCGATCCTGCTTCAGACTGCTCTATCTTCATGTACAATTGTGTGTGTGTATAGACTGAAAGTCACCTATTAAGAATTGCAAGAGTGGATGTAACACCTGTCATTTTGCAGGTGGCACTGCGTGATTCCAACTCCGTCGAAGGGAGATTTGGTGACAAGAAAAGTTCACCTGAAGTTTCCTGGTTGTCCTGTGAAGTGTGTGTGTGTGTGCGCGTGCGTGTGACAAAGGTGTCCATGAACATGCTTTGGCCCAGCAAGACGTCCATGTGTCTGTTACTCAGTGATAGTGTCCATCAGTGCCTCGTCTCCACATCTCTGTCTCGGTCTCTCAGTTGGACTTGGACCAGATCTTCCCACTGCCACGCAGCCTGAGTGGGGACAACAATATAAAACACTGCATTCAAACTTTGAGATGTATCAAAAATCTGTAACGATTAACACGTTTACTTTTCACTTGCACTACTAAACCAGCATAGTTCTGATGCAACGGTGTCCTTTTGATCAGTATTTTCTTTTTTTGCATTGATCCCAATGGATTCTCGATTACAAAATTAAAAAAAATACTATTTTTGTGCTAATTTCTAATAATAACAGTCCCTTCCTTTAAATAGCTTTATAAAGAAATGGTGCAAAAACTCTTTTTTTAATTTGAGGATTGAGGTTAAGCTATCATTAATTTGGATTTCAAGTGGCTCTTCATTTGAATGAAGTGCAGTGCTGAAAATTATAGAGCTCAATGCGTCATCAGAATATGACATGCAGCCAGAAAATAATCACTGCTTTGGGTTCGGCAGCAAAAACAAACAGCAGACGAGCAAAGCATCTTTGGATCACTGGAGGGGGGTACGGTTCTTTTGGGATGAGAGCGCGTGGTGCATTTGTATATCCAGTGACATTTTACAATCCAGGACAGATGTGAAATTAGCCATCGGTAATTGGGCCGGATGGAAGCGGAGCAGGAAGAGAGTCCCTGAAAGCAGTGATGGGATACGGCTGCAAACCACTGATGTGATAATAAAGCTACTTCATGCAGAGACGCGTTCACACACACACAAACCATCAAACGGCAGCTGGCTTTTGAATGTATATTGAAGAAAAAACAAGGAAAAAAAATAGAAACAGTAGTTCAGCGTTGAATTAACTTCCTCGCTCTACTAAAGTACTGGACTAATGGCTTTACTTCTGAGTGTCTTTGTAGGGCTCTGTCTATAAAGGTACAGGTACATTTGTATTTATAAGGCACTTTTCAAAAACTAGAGTACCAAAGCGTTTTACGAAACAGCAATAAAATACACGTAAAATGGTACAAAACCTCCTGCGGCTTTTTGGTTCAATTTTATGACTCGTGGAAAAGAAAAAAAACCTTGTTCACCAGCGCACCAACAAACAAAGCAAAAAAATTGTTTCAGTATATTATTCTTCATGGCCAAACACATTTTACGTATTTGATCTCTGGGTTGTTTGGCGATGCAGTATGAATGCAATTTCTATGCAAAAACTTGGTGGTTCCCTTAGTTTCAAAAGGCCATAACATCCAAGACACCATTGTGCACGTTTGTGTTGTCACACAATTCCACGCAGCCCAAACAGCGGGTTGCAACACATTACTCACCCTTTCACCTTTGAACTCTTTTTGCCTGGTTGTCGTGGTTCCTGAGAGGAAGCGGGGTCTCGTGGCTCCGCAGGCTGATCTGCGTCCTGATTGGAGGCGGCTCCAGCGGGGGCGGGGCCTGACGACGGAGAGGCCGCGCTGGCCTTTAACGTTTTCTGAAGATTTGACACCTGAGGATGGATTCAAAATGAAAGGTTAAAGGAAAGGTTCCCAACATGTCGTCTTTTGTGTTCAGTGCCTCTTTTACTATTCTGCTTGTTTACAAAAGGAGACGTCCTGGTACCAAAGCGCATCATAGAATCTTTCAGAAACCCCGCCTGTCGATCAATATTCTCCTCTGCCTATCCTGCTGTAAACAAGTGAGCCACGATAGAAGGTGGCGCTGCCCGTGTCCCTACCACCTTGCCCTTGACCTTTAGTATTAAAATTTCAACTGACAATGCAAAATGTTAAACTGAAGCAGGCCTGTCTCTTCCTCTCCCTCGGGTCAGTCACACGTGTGCCCGACGTAATATCTGCCTGGAGATGCATTCAGACTGATGAATGATTTAATCTCACTTTGCACAAAAAAACGAATCACTTTAGTAATGCAAGTAATGCAGCATTACTAATATCTATAATAACTGCAATTGTAAATTGTAATTCCTACATTACTCATTACTGGGGAACGTAATTGTATTACAGGAACACTGGTCGTATAGCAAGTCAGGTTTGTGGAGGAATTCATACTTTAATGTGTTTATGAACACATTGGTGTATGAGCCTACTTACCCTCAAACAAAATGCGAAAGAAAAGATAAAATATGCAATCAGGGAGAAAATTAAAAGACCACATGTGGCTGGAAGCATAAACAAATGCTGAAGAGGGAAGAGTCACATTCTCTTCATTCATTCCACACACACACAGGAGTTACTGTAGGCTGAAGAAATGAGGGACTGACCTCTGTTTCCACTTGGACTTTGACCTTTAACTGGCTCTCTCTGTATTGGTTTGCCCTCGAGACTTGCTCCTCAATACCACACAGCACTGCCTCACAACCTGTGCACCTAAGACACAGAGAGAGTTAGAAAGCTGATCCCCGAGACACAAAGAAGTGTGCGCATTGAAGAGTCGGGGCCGACACTGACCACTCCTGCAGCGTGTTCACAATGTTTGGCAGCTCGTTGGGGCCGAGGTCACGACCCACGCTGCAGTCCACCTCCACCTGCTGGTTCCTCTGGTCCAGTTTGCCCTGGATGATGTCACAGTACACGGCGTCTATCAGCAGGTCCTCCAGCTCCCTCACATTCTTCAGCTCAAGCTGCTGCAGAAGCAACGAGTATGGCAGGCACTGAGGGAGGAGGGGGTGGGGGGGGACACAAGGAGACTTTACAGATTCTCTTTTTTTAACTAATGTATACAGGCACATCATTTGATTCCAATTTAACGGTTTGATGGAAAATGACAAAAAATGTTACAGTAAAATTGCCCATTTGTCTAAATGTCACAGTGAGAAGAAGGTGGGAGGAGGATGTTGGATTCAGCAATCCTTAACGGGCCAATTAGGGAGTTCAAGCCTACACACGGAGAGAGTAGTGGCATATTCAGGAGAAAAATAGATGCCGCAGCGAAAGGAGCCATGGCAGGAAAAAGTGAGATTAAGTTTATTAAAAAAAAAAAGAAAGTTAGTGAGAATAATTAATCATTTATTTATTAGGAGCGGATAAAGAAAATGGGGGAAATGTGCAGTACGGTTGGAAGGTGTGTGTGTGATTCCTTAATAAAAGAACATTAAATACTTTATAATGCACATGAAGGGATGATTGAGCAGTAGTGGATGTGCTGGTAGTGCTTTCTAGAAAAGCTTCAAACTGAAAGGCCGGTTGGTTCCTATAATTCTAATTTAGCTGATATAAAACAGGCTCAAAAGGAGAGATGTTGAGTGCATTTTCAGGTTAATACCTTTATTGGTTTCTACTTAAACATGAATTTAGATTTTTTTCCCACCCTCT